TAGATAATCGTATTACATTAGCGATATACAAGTTCTTTTTGGGAAAATTTCTGGGCTTTGTCTTTGGCTTTTTTGTATTGAAAATTTGACAATTTAATATTGCACTCACACATACTTCAAAAGTCGGGGCTTAACTCGAGCAACAACTTTTTGTCAAACTTCGAGTTAAGCCCCGGGGCTTAACTCGATTTTACTCGATTGACCCAAATCGTGTTTCGTTCTTCGAGTTAAGCCCTTTTGGAAAATGGGCGTGGTCATGACAAAACAGGGCGTGGTCGGGGCTTAACTCGAAAAGGGCTTAACTCGAGGGGCTTAACTCGAAGGGCTTAACTCGAAGATTCCCGACCTCATTTGTCATCGGTCAATGAATTCTTTACTCTTTAGCTCGCTAATTTGACTATTCAGCATGGTTCATACCTGGAGCAATTATTTACTGCAAAGCCTCCGCCTTGCATAACGGCATAACGGCAATTGCTAGATAGTATACTTCAAAATAAGGTTTCCGTTTTTATATCAATTTTTAAAATAATTAAAATAAGTTAGGGTTATGTTAGGATTTAGGTTAGGGTTAGGTTAGGGTTAGGGCGAGGGTTAGTATTAGGGTTAGGGAATAGTTTTTTTCTACGTTATAAAAACGGAAACCTTATTTTGATATATACTATCTAGCGATCACCTTGCATAACTACATGTATTTTAATATTGATTACAGTGTTTCCACTTACAAGGATTTTTCCTTGCAACAAGGAAATATTGGTCCTTGCAAGGAATTTACAAGGAAATAAAATTTACAAGGAAATGGCAAGGAAAAATACACAAATTAAAGGAAATTGCAAGGATTTCTGTAACTTATACCAATTACAAGTCTTAAACCAGTAAAAAGAGGTACAGAAGAATCTGAAAATGCCATTTCCGGCGATCTAGGGACTATAAATTTCAAAATTTGCCGTTCAGCGAACAGCTGGGAAATTTGTTGTCGCTGTGCAGAGAAATTGCTGGCGCACGAGATATTTTACAAAAATTCGAAAATTTGAAAAAACAACACGAGTGAAATTTCAACTTATGATTTTGCATTTTTAAGACGGCGATCAAGGAAATTAAATTGTTGGAAAATCTTCCCCAACAATTCAAGTATGGAAAGCATCTACATTACCAGCAATTTAATTGTGGATTGATTCAAAATTCAGGCGATAAAGTTTCATAGCTAGGAATTGGCTTTTGTGCTCTTCGAATATCAGTTTTCATTCGCGGATTACCACAACTTGTTGGTGTCATGGGTGCCAAAATCGACATAAACGTAAACTGCTAACCAAGAGCCATAAAACAAATAGCTTTTCAAAAAGATAAACTTTATTCAGTCAAAAGGATGAGGGTATAAATAAACATGCTACTGCGTGATAGTGATTTCGAAGCAACTTTGTCACGTATATTTTAAAAAGTGTGATTATGAATCAAATTTAGCTTTTTGCAATCCCAAAAAGGTATGAAAATTATTTAAATATTTAAGGTTTCCGTGTTTATACAGTATTTTGTGGAGAAAAGTAAAAATTTTCCCGATAAAAAAGCGTAGTTTCTGCAGAAAACTGTTTTCTGATAGAGAAGATCCTGGGGGAGGGGGGGTGTAGAAGCGTGCGTGGATAGCAAAAAACCTTGACGTTTCCTCCAAAAAATTAATACCAAATTTTGTTTTGCCTTTGTTTCATATATAATTTAAACTAGTTTTTTTACATCTAAAAATTTCCCCTAGTGGTCAAAACTTGGATTATGTTCGCAGCATTGGCCATTTGTTTACTTTTGGGGATCAAAGTTTGAGGTCCAATTATTGTTAAAGTTTGCAAACTACCCAGCTAATTCGTGGCTGTTGTTTGCAGCCTTGTATGCTGATTAAAATTTAGTTTAGTCCACAATAGTAGGTCCTTTCAATGAAGGGAAATTCAAGATAGTATACTTGATTACTTTTACAGCACAGTCATTACATAGGTAGGGTACAATACCAGGCCAAATTGCAAAAAAATATTTACCGATTCCTCCAAATTTAAAATCATAATTTTTTGCTCCCAAGGCACATAGGAAACAGAATTTAACAATAACTTTTGTTGAAAAATTGCCCCTTTGCGTCTAATTTCGCTTTGAAATGGGTGCGTTTACTGCTGTTGTATGAAGCAAGAGTTCGAAAACATTCGAAGTACTGTAAAATGTAATGAGATCGACAACTTGATCTTGGCCTTGAGACTTTGTACTGCCTCAGCACTGAAATGTTTTTTGACAACGATAATTTACCAGTGTTTCTTGAATATTTTCCTTGTTTAACTAGTAGAACCGAACGTACAAGACTACAAGTGCATCAGAAGAGTAAGCGAGAGTTTTGTGTAGAAATGCTCTGTTTACGGGAAGTTATTTTGCATTCGCAAGCGTCAACAAAACTGCGGCATTTTCACAGTTTGATTATCATAGCGATAGATAAAAGCTTTAAAAATTCAATTGAAAACCAGTTTAAACCACCCGTATTTGTATAGAATATATGTTATGTTAGTTGTATTAACATTGAACTTCTTTCTGTTTGAACCCAAATTTGTGACTTGTTTTGCGTTTGACAAGGTGTCAAGCAGAAGCTCGCGACGATTGGCTAGTTTATACCTCGGGCATGCAGACTGCAGATTTACCGTGTCCAAATGTCTTCTTGTTTATGTCAAGATTATAATATTCTATTGCTGTTCAAACGAGATATTCTATACACTTGAAACGTATACGTAGAGTACATTTTAATTTGTCTTTGTTTCGAGCAAAAAAATTATAAAGATTAAACAGGCATTCAAAAATATACAACAACCACGAACATCTCGTAATATTTCTTCGGGGAAATTTTCAAGTTTCAATGGCAATCTGGCGCATGCGCCACAAATTTCCCAGCTATTCGTTCAGCGCTTTCTGCCATACAACCCCTCCACCATTAATTTATCAGGCATGTAGTAAAACACTGACTACCGGAACACCGGAACACCACTGGAACACCGCCGAAACACCACCGGAACACCACCTAACCCTAACCCCAACCCTAACCCCCAACCCTAACCCCAACCCTAACCCCCAACCCTAACCCCCAACCCTAACCCTAACCCCAAACAAAATGGTGGTGTTCCGGTGTTCCGGTGGTGTTCCGGTGTTCCGGTAGTCAGTGTTTTACTACATGCCAATTTATCAAGCACCTTACGCCCTTGGATGAGCATAGACATATATGTGGAACAGATACTTTCATGGAGGGAACTCTTGAAAGCCTGCTCAAATTTTCAGGCAATGTAATGATGCTCGATTTCTCGTAGTGACTATGATACATTTGCCTCAAATTTGCTTGAATTTTTTTTATTTTTTCCACCGTTTGGGTGGCAATGAAATTTTGTGGGGAAAAAGGAATTTTGGAGATTGTAAAAGGATTTTTGAACAAGCGGTTGTGGAAACACTGATTGATTATTGCATTCGTAATACCTTGTTGTAATTACCTTGTTGTTATATATTTTTGCGTTGGAATTTCCGTAAAATATATCGCGGGTAAGGCATCAGCACTAGCTCTGTGCATTTCTTATATTATTCATGCTGTTTTCATCCAGAAATCAATACCACCGTAATGGTATTTTACTACGGGGAGAAAAAACCAGCACAATTCTCTATGACCTTGGGCACTAGTTCCCCCCGGATATTTACACCCGGGGAAACGAAAGCATTAGCGAAGTCTAAAGTTCATCAATTACCGCGGGCGTGGGTCACCAACTGTGTTCGAGTGTTGGGTGTGTGGTCATCCTCACTGATCTCAAAAATATGGCGGACTGTCATGAATAGCGGACACTGATTGGTCCAATTTAAAGTTTGAATTATAACGACTGCATGACGACAGCGAAATAGCAAACATTTCTTCATTTCTTGATTTGATGATTGATAAATTTCTTGCAAATATATTTCATTTTTGCACGCACTTTGGCAAGATTTTGTAAATTTCAAAAGGTTTCTCAGAAAGAAAGGGCGAAAGAATCGGCTATTAAAAGAAGGGAGCCGACGTGAACGAAGGTAAGTTTGTTTTAAATATTGATTTTATAATGACTTTAAAACCCGACGGCCTTTGCGTATATGAAACAACTATTACTAGAAAATACATGCATGCAGAACCCTCGCCTTGCTGACAAAACCATTGTATTTTCCGAACATGAAGTATCTAAATTAGTTCTCATGGTAACACGAAAATTTTATAAGAATATTCTTTCAAATGAAAAATCGCCTAAAAATATCACTTTTAATTACAAAATTATCAATTTCCCAACAAATATATGTTAGGTATGTTATTATACGTAATATAGGCTTCAATTTAAGGTAAAATTCAACCACAAACGCTTCGCAAAACGTTTTAAAGTGTTCTTTATAAAACTAAACTGCCTTTAATCATGGATAATAAAATAAATGGATAGGAAACTAGCTGACGTGACCTAATGTTTTCAATGGGCTGATGGCGTGGTCACAGAATAGATACAGGACCAGAAGTGTCACTCATACGATACTTTGTCCGAAATTTTACGAGTGCTGACGTGAAAATACGCCATCATATGACGCCATCCTGGAGTGCACACGGACCGTTTTTCATAGGAAAACATAGGTACAAAGTGCCGGGTGCACTCCAGGATGGCGTCATAGCACGCAAAAAAATTTCGGACGTTTTCCTTCAGCCAAAACAAATAGGAGTGACACTTCTGGTCCGGTATCTATTCTGTGGCGTGGTTAGCCCACTGAGCTATACTATATTACTGGAGGACCTGCACGGGAAAAAAAAGTGAAGCCAAAAACATGGCGGATTTCGGCCTTTGCTGACGCCATTTCCATGACAACTGGTCCGTATTTCTCATGGTAATTACCACTGACCAGGCTCGGATCTGAGCCCGCTACAATTTCCACCCCCCCCCTGGTTTTCTTTAAAAAACGTTAGGTTTTTGCAATTTTGCTCGGGTTTTGTAGTATTTTCTCGATATTTGACTCGATTTTTAAATTGTTTTCGAGATATTTTTTCTAAATTCGGTTATTGGTTCAAAGATGTGCACAACAAAATTCAAACCTCGCTGTCCTCGCAAAATATGAGCAAAGCCAAAGAAGATATTTGAATCAGCGAGCTATAAACAGGTATTTGACCGTATTTCATTCAATTTTATTTATGCTCTATCTTATCTCACATAAAATTGGTAGGCTTAACTTAAGCTTGACGATGAAATGCACTTATTTTGTTAAGAAAACAGCCTTTTGCTGGTTTTTTGGTGTAATTTGGCATCTGTATATTTCAAAATTTGGTTGCAGAAACTACAACTTTTTGTTATTTATAAATTACTTTAGAAAATGCTATTAACTCCAGACGTTCCTTCAAAGCAAACGGTATGTCACATATGTGTTTAAATAAATTCAGGTTTTGTGTAATATGTGCCAAGTTTGCATACAAGGCTAATCAATGTCAATGACAAGACTTTTTGAGTACTCAAATATTTCCCAAAATACCTGTATATAACTTATATATACCCCCTTCCCCCAAGAAAATGTTGCTGTGTGATGAAAAGATATTATATTAGCCATTTACAACATGTTGGGAGCTGCAGTGCACCCTGCTTATTTTTTTACTATTGTCTAACGCCAGACGATTTTACTCATCAATGGGGAAGCTCTGCAGCTTAAAGGGTTTAACAATTTGGAACACCAGGCTGTCCAGGCATACTGGATGGCAATCTGGCAATTACTTCGTAACTACTGTATGTTGCTTCCCTTGCACTGGGAAGGTACCTTGTATCCTGGCCACTTTTGATTATTATACTATTAACCCATTAAGCTGCAGAGCTTCCCCAGTAAATCATCCGGCGTTAAACAAGTTAAAAAAATAAGTAGGGTGCACTGCAGCTCAATGTGTTAACTAGAGGCATTGTCAGATTTTTTGGTTAACCCATTAAGCTGCAGAGCTTCCCCAATTGACAAGTAAAATCATCTGGTATCAGACAAGTAAAAAAAAGTAGGGCACGCTGGGGCGCATTGCGGCTCAATGGGTTAAGCCTGATAATTGCACCAATGGTTCTGGTGTCTCTGAGTCGCATTGTTTTCCCATCATCATTTTTGTGCTCAAAGTTACAACATGTAATATATTTTTGTTTATTCCAGAATTATCTCACAATTGGGATATCATAATCTGCATTTGTCCCGACTCACTCTGGTTTCCCAGTTAACCCATAGAGTGGCTCTCCCATTGACAAGTAAAAGTAGGGCAGGCAAAATTACAAGCAAGATGTATGGAAATTGAAGACACAAAAGCTGGATTAATTTTGAACTATTTTAATTGGACTTTTCAATACAGTAAAATTATTAACAGTGAATAATTTTAAATTAACACTAAAATTATTGTAATTAAGTATACATGATGTAATGGAGTATGTGTTAACGTAATTCAGGGGTGGATTAATAGGGAGGGTGCACACCCCTGTTGGCCTTGGTCAAGAGGGGTGCAATAGAATCAAATTCAGAAACATGGCATAATTTCCAAGGTTTTCCCTTTTCTGAAGTCAAACTGAAGCTCATAATTCAATGTCCATATCACAGGAAATAGCATCTAATTTTCAAAATTTTCTGGGGGCATATCCCTCAACCCCCTAGGGAGCTTGCGCCTTTAGTGCTTGAGTCGTTTCACCCCCACCACCCCCTAAAAAATTATAAAGAAACACTTGGCTGCTCACCCAGCACCCCCTAGAAAAACCTTGCTGGATCCACCCCTGAAGGCTTTCAAGTAATACTGTAATTATAGCAGGCAGTGCAGTACTTATCATATCATGCAAATAATTATCATATTTAATTGCACAGATCCCATATGTATAAACAAACACGAGCATGCAATGCATTGTAGTTGACAATGATTCTTTAATTAACTTAATAATAAAGGTTTATACTTTTATAAGTTAATTATCATCACCATCATAGACATATTTTCAAATTTTGCTTGGGGAGTGTGGGTGTGCAGAAAAGTGAGCAAGGAGCACGTAGTGTGCTGAGTAAGATGCAGCAGAGTCTGAGGGTACAGTCACTAGTGGGGACACAGTTGGGGTAAGGTTGGGGGCAACGACCCCAGGATATTTCAAGAATATTGGCCTTGTTTTTTAGCCTTATTTAGTTCAAAATTCTTGTTCAATTATACTGCTGTCATTTAATCAAACCAGCATTTAAATTTCTGTGGTGGAAAAACTTTCTGAGGTGGTGAAGATATTATTGGGGGTGCACCCCCCCCCAGAAAATCCATCAATGATTGCCATCTGCATTTTAATGCCTTGTACATCCCATGTTTTGTGATATCTATAGCCAATAATTCCTGCAAGATAAAAGACAATCATATTACACCAATATTATTACACATTCTTCCACCTGAAAAACAGCATTTATTACCGAAAATTGTGGATGCATGCTTCTTTTCATCCACAAAACTGCATATCATAGTTTCTTTGTAACCAATTTCATGAAAGTCAAGACAATCACAAAGAAATTAAGATAACAATTTTTTCAAGAGAGAGGAAGGATCCACAGTTTAAGGTTTACTAATTAATAAAAATATTCTTGTTGTAGTTCTTTGTGTATTCCACTCTGTTGTGGAAATACATGTACATGTATAGTTTGAACATTGAGTCATATTCTAGAAAAATCCACACTCCAACTATATGTGAGGAAATTTATGCTGTCTGGAGGGGACGATTAGAATCTATACTCTTGAGAAAAGCATTAAAATACACTATAAATAGGACAGGGGCTTGCAACTTCACATTTCTTGTGTAGGGTTGATGTGGATGTTGTCAGATAATTTTCAAAATCTTCTGGGTGAGTGTGCCCCCAGAATATTGAAATTAAAAAAATTTCGTACTATCCATCCCATGAATCTTACCTGTGAAACGAATTACTCGTCCTTTTATGTAAAGTAAAGTAAATTGTTGCATCAGCAAGTGGAGCAAAACGGCACTTTAATTCCTTCCAAGTTGAAAAACCCCCCCAGCAAAATACGAGAAAAATATATTATGTTTTTAACTAAAAACACTGCCAAAACCAGGGGGGTGAAAACGTCGTCTGAAGCTCAGGATCGCGGTTGGTCAGTGGCAATTCTGTGAGAATTACGGACCAGTTGTCATGGAAATGGCGTCAGCAAACGTCAAAATCCGCCATTTTTTTGGCTTCACTTTGATCACTGAACGAAGTATAGGAGCAGGTCCTCCAGTTATTATACAGCTCAGTGGGTTAGCCGATGCCTCAACCTAGTTGAAAACCAAATTCTCAAAAACGGCATGTTTAGCAATAATACAGCTAAACATTTTAGTCAAAGAGCAAATAAATATAACTACGTCATTCTACGATGAAAACTCTAAGTATTCCCAGTCAATTTTAGCAAGTGTTTCAAGCACTAAACGGTCAAAAATTATTACATCGCAAATTTCGTTAAAATTTGTGACGCCAATTTCGTAGATACAAATGTAAAAAATACAAAACAAAGACGAAAAACATTTACCTTGAATACTTTGTCGTGGCTAAGGTATGTTTTTAAAACAATTAGACCAGTTTATGCTTTAATATCACCCTTTTAAAGTGGAAAATATAGTCAAAACAACAAAAATGCCGAGAACTTTGGTAACATTCGCAATACGCGTGACGTCACGTTTTTCAACAAGGATGCAGTCGATGGCGTCAGGAACTTTCCTATCCAGTTATTTTACAATCCATGCTTTAATTAAATGGCTTTATCGATAAACTTTGAGCTTGTAATAAATGATTTCAAATTCTCCCATGCAAATAACATTGCTTTCTTTTCTATTTAAAAAATTCACTATAATAAAAAAGGGAATCAATATTAAAGATACACTGAAATTATATGCCGTCTTGTTTAGTTGTTTCATATACGCAAAGGCCGTCAGGTTTTAAATCCATTTTAAAATCGATATTTAAAACAAACTTAAGGCCGGTTTACACGACCAGTGTTTTGGGCACGGCACCCCTAAAAATGGGCACCCAAACGTGACAAAAATCGGCACCGGTGCCGCAAAATTTAAACGTGCCGAGACTTTCTCACGAGGTAGTCTCGGCACGTCTAGCAAGTAGTACCGTGCCCAAATTTCGAAAAAAATAAAAAATGTGTTCGACATCGAGCATGCGCAAAACAAATTGTACTCTTTCCAACATGGCAGCAAGCCGCGAAAAACTACAACTCATGGCCAGAAATCACGGACATTTGCATTTCTCAGGTTTCATGTTACCACGTGCATCCACGCAACAATGGCTGCGCAATGCCCTATGTTTATTATCAGGCGAGCGGAGTATTTTCAATATTGCATGCTATACATAAATCTTAGAATATTTGTTGAAATTGGTTCAAGAAGTAGCGGTCGTATAGTAACACATTAAGAAAAAAATGTTCTCATTACTTTGTATAGTCGCTCTGCTTTTTGCGATTGAATATTAAAACATTTTACCTCACTTTATACATAGGAATCTATGAAGGTTTCTCGCTTAAACGGCAAAATCTCGTAATATATTCAATTATCGAAATTTGTTGAAATCATTTTATTTTGACGAATAGTATAGCCTTGCCTTCCGCCGTTTATTATTTTGTTACACCGGATAAAAGCTCTGCTTTTTTGTTTTGAAATTCAAAAGTCGGTGCGTTAATATGCATATCATATATATTACTTCGCGGCCGTCAAAAAGTTATATTTCATTTGCTTTCTAAACTCGAACTATTGATTGCCTTGCTACATGTTTGGTACCAAAATACTCGTCAATAGCTTCTCTTTTCATTTCAGTAGTCGTTGTTTAGCTACACGCTGCGCCTGGTACACTAAAGGACACAACTTGAGTGCATACTTCATGCGTTGGTTTATAGACAACACCCATGCCAATATTTAAAATTACGGATGCTTTGACAGGGCGTAAAAGGATAATTTGGAATTCTTGTGGATAAACGGAAAAGCTGCTGACCGACAGGTACGCTTGCACAATGTCCGTCATTTCTGGCCATGTGCCAAAAATAAAAATAAAACAAAGTTAAAAAACAAATTTAAATAGCACAGAATGTGAATGTTGCTCTTTGATACCTCTGTTCGTCGCTGAATAGAGCAGTAACTAGGTCGCAAATGGCTGCCCTTCGATGCATCCATACCTCTCGAATTCGTGGCGGGTCAATACAAGATGGCACAACATTTACGCGAGAAAACTCCTTTCGTCTTTAAGGGCCTGTTCATATGGGCAAAAGTTATCCCGATTAACGAGAAAACTTTTCGACTAGCCAAATGTTCACATGGAGAAACGTTATCCCGCTTACCGGGTAAAGTTTCCGGCTGTGACATAGCACTGAATATCAATTGAATTGAAAAGTTGCTGACACGACAGAAAGTTATCCTCTAAGCGGGAAAGTTGTGTTCATATGGGAAAAACATTATCCCGGTCACCGAGATCTGGCTTGTCAACAAGCGAGATCTCGGTACATGGGAAAACCTTTTGTCTTATATGAACGCAGTGTAACTTTTCATATTATTTTCATACCAAGGCGAGATCTCACTTGTAAACTTGTCGAAAAGTTTTCTCGCTAACAAGGATAACTTTTGCCCATATCATATGAACTGGCCCTTTAAGTACTTTTCTATTATTGAATTGGGTTTTCCCCTCGATTTTCGGCTCATATAATACTCTTCTTCGTTCCAATAAATATAAATATATAATTCTATTTCTGTCCGACATCTTTATTCTTTAAAATATACCGTCGTAAACGGAAAGTAGAGGTGCCGTTTTCCGATGGGCACGGTGCTTATCATAAAAGTGTGTCTACAAAAAGTTGTCGTGTAAACGAGTAAATAGTGAAGTGGGAGTTTTGGCATGGTGCCCATTTTCAGGGGTGCCTTGCCCAAAACGCTTGTCGTGTAAACCGGCCTTTACTTTCGTTAACGTCGGCTCCCTTCTTTTAGCCGATTCTTTCGCATGCAGTTTCTTTCTGAGAGTGCTTTTGAAATTTACAAAATCTTGCAAAAATGCGAGGAAAAATGAAATATGTTTGCAAGAAATTTATCAATCATCAAATCAAAAAATGTTTGCTATTTAGCTGTCGTCATGCAGTCGTTATAATGCAAACTTTAAATTGGACCAATCAGTGTCCGCTATTCATGATAGTCCGCCATATTTTTGAGATCAGTGAGGATGACCACACACCCAACACTCGAACACCGCTGGTGACCCACGCCCGCGATGATTGATGAACTTTAGACTTCGCTAATTCTTTCGTTTCCCCGGGTGTAAATAGCTGGGGGGAATTAGTATACCCTCACACGGCGCTTCGCGCCGTCGGCTCGGGAACAAGACAGCATACAATTTCAGTGTATCTTTAATAATATTGATTCCCTTTTTTATTATATTGAATTTTTTAAATAAAAAAAGCAAAGTCATTTACAAACGAGAATTTGAAATCATTTTATTGCAAACTCAAAGTTTATAGATAAAGCCATTTAATTAATTAAAGGCAGTTAGTTTTATAAAGAACACTTTAAAACGTTTTGCGAAGCTTTTGTGGTTGAATTTTACCTTAAATTGAAGCTTATATTACGTATAATAACATACCTAACATATATATGTTGGGAAATTGATAATTTTGTAATTAAAAGTGATATTTTTAGGCGATTTTTCATTTGTATAAAGAATATTCTTAAAAATTATCGTGTTACCATGGCAACTACTTTAGATACTTCATGTTCGGAAAATACAATGGTTTTGTCAGCAAGGCGAGGGTTTCTGCATGCATATGTATTTTCTAGTTGTAACTTATATATACAACCACTACTTTAAAAACTGGTAATGACATCAAGAGTATTCCATAGGTCAACTGTGGAAGGAAAGAACGAGTTTTTAAACTTTTCACTTTTACACACAAAATAACTAATATATAGTTTGACCTGATCTTAAAGGAATATATAAGCCCGTTCATTTACTAAATCTGCTAAGAGTTCAACTAACTATATATAGGAACAAGCTTGTATTGACAATGGTAGCTTATTCATTTTTCTTCTATAATGCTCAATTCCATACTCTATAATTGGTCTTATCAAACTGGCTTTTGTATAGACAAGCAAGCGTTGGTCTCAGTTCAATTTTAAATTTTAACGTTTTTCTAGTGACACTTTTAATTGTTATAGCCAGTATTCCATGTAAATATAAACCGGATGTCATTGACATTCTTTGTTTTTGATCCAGTAGACGCCATGTACGCTACAGCGTACCTATTTTTCAGAAACCGGTGATCCGTGTTTTCAAATATATATATATATATATATATATATATATATATATATATATAATAATTTAATATTTTAATACAATTTTTCAATTGAATAAGTTGCTACTTTAAGTTTCATGCAACAAGCAATCATACGATGGCCCACAAGGGACATGCAAACTTAAATAAACTCGGTGCAAACTTAAATAAAAACTCGGTGCAAACTTAAATAAAAACTCGGTGCAAACTTAAATAAAAACTCGGTGCAAACTTAAATAAAAACTCGGTGCAAACTTAAATAAAAACTCGGTGCAAACTTAAATAAAAACTCGGTGCAAACTTAAATAAAAACTCGGTGCAAACTTAAATAAAAACTCGGTGCAAACTTAAATAAAAACTCGGTGCAAACTTAAATAAAAACTCGGTGCAAACTTAAATAAAAACTCGGTGCAAACTTAAATAAAAACTCGGTGCAAACTTAAATAAAACTTTTGGGTGCAAACATGCGCGCGCAGGCACAAACTGGCAAACAGTGGCGACATTATTGGCGACCACTGAGCTATAATAGAGAGGTTTAGCAAAGACGACGCGACTTCAAAGACGACGCGAAAATGGCGTGGCGCGTGAGATTTTACTTCCGGTTAAATCTAGGACGGCAGTCGCGTCGAGTCTAGGCCGTGAAAATACTCATTTTGGCGTCGTGTCAACGACGGCAACTTAAAGTCATTTTTTTGCGATAAAAAGGTAAGAAAATTATTTTTTATAAGCGAATATATTAAACAAAAATTTATATCTGTTTTCTGCATAACATTTGATAATAAATTGACCTTTTCAAAGGTCAATTTTAATAAAAACAGGAAATACGTAACACCAATGAACGAGACGGGTTTCATCCTCGGAGAGTTTTTGAAAGTAAACAAATAATCTTGTCAAAATTCCTCTCATTTTACGGTGTCTTTGTCGCTTATAATGCACTCTCGCAAATTCATTTTCTACTTTTAAAATATATAAATGTTTTTATGATATTAATCCATAAAAAATAATAATAATAAACATCCAAACATTTTTATATTTTGATTTATTATAATACGATATACATTTTAATTTATAGGCAAGAGATGGACGCTACCTCGGACGCTACAATAGATTCAAGCGTTAAAGAAAAGCTACAAAAGAAGTATAAATTTATTGTTTATACACTATATTTCTGTAAATATTTTGATAGTTTTAGGGCCTGTTTATATGGAAGCCGGGCTGGCCTGCTAAGCGAAACAGCCGGTAAGCGAGATGTCGCTGTCTAGTTATATTTATAGTAAATATTATACCGCCGCAAGCTATTTTTAACAACTGTCAAAACAGCAAAACGTCCTGGCAAGTGGGATGAAATTTTCTCATATAAACACAAGAGATTCATCTCGCTTACCAGGCTGTCTCGCTAAGTGGGCCAGCCGGCTTCCATATTAACACAAAATTGTATAAATCACTGAAATACACTTCTGCTTAATTCATACATTATAACTTGCTAGACCATCTATGGTATGGAAAGAGGATATGGATTATACCATGCTTCAAGAGATGGCAGCTGAAGGTGTTCTTCACCACAAGAGCAAATCGAGAAACAGGGGAGTATCATGGCAAAAGGTTGTCGAAAGACTCAATGCTCTGCCAAGCTTCGATGTGAATACAAAGTCTGTTCGGGATCGATTTAACCTCCTAGCAAAAAAATATAAAGTAAAAATGGGAAAACAAGAGAGAGCAACAGGTGGTGGGGGCATAGAGGTGACTGAGGCAGAAAATCTACTAGAAGAGTTGATTGCGATGGAAGAAGATGCAAATGAGAGGGCTGATGAAGAAAGTAGAGCGAGGCAGATTGTTGAAGATGAAGACAAGGCAAAGGCAATCGAGATGCGAAAGAGGGCAATGGAGAGTATGGGAGAAACAAGAGAGAGATTGGGGAAGAAGAATGAAGAAAAGAGAAGAAGATCAGGGAATCAGTCAATGGTGTTTTTGGAGAAGGCAATCGAGACAAAACAGAAGATGCAAGAGGAGGAAAAGAGAGCAAGAGAGGAAGAGCGCCGAGATCAGCAGGAGATACAAACTGCATTTTTGAGGCAGTTGGAAGTTAGTCAGCAACAACATGCTGCTCAGTCTAACATGACTGAGCAGCATTTGTTGCAAAGCATCGCAATGCAACAACAACAACAACAGCAACAAATGCAGCAGTTTTCAGCCATGCAAAATAACATGATGGCTTTAATGGAACAACAGCGCCAGCAATCAGAGATGATTCTGGAACTTTTTAAAAAGACAAATAATAATTAACTATTTAATAACCATTGTACATAGGTTTGAACAATTTTTGATATTTCTCTGACATTCATTCAATAATTGATCGTAACGTTAACTTATTTAATTTGTAATATTCAATAATTTTATTTTAAAATATTGCAATAATATAATTATTAATTCAAGTGTAAAATGTTAATATATAATTATTAATTCAAGTGTAAAATGTTTTATTTCAATTGTTCTTCACGAGAAATAATGCTCCAAAGTGGGAGGTGACAGTTCAAAAAAATGGGCCACAATGTTTCCATATAAGCATGTATGGGCATTTTGAAGCAATGCAGAAACAGTGTAAAATTTGCCAACTGCACTCAAGTTAATTTTTTGTTGTTTTTTCATATCAATGAATGCAAAATAATTGCAAATGCTGCCAAACATCCATTCAACAGACACCCGGACTGAGCTCATTGCCTTGTTGAACAATTCCATTTCTGGGGTAGGTTGCCGATCTTTGAATGGACCTTGCAGATGTATACCAAGTGGATATGCTGGGTCACCATAAAGAGAGAGTGGCACACCATTGTAAAATGCATGCTGCTCTAATAATGGTAAAAGCCCTGATTGATATAACATTGTGCTGTCATGCCGTTTCCCTTCATACGGGCCAGAAAGATTGGCAATCAATCCATCAGGCACAACAACACTTTGAAATTTCATCGCATGATCCCTTTTGTAACCATTGTACATGGTTCGTTGATTCTGGTTTGGTCTGGTAATTCTCCGAACTGTTCCATCAATGAAACCAAAACAGTTTTGAAGCGGTGCACCATGAGCATGTATGCTATCAGCATACCTGCCAAGGTTTTCAGGAGATAAGAAAGGTTGCTCAAAGCTTTCAAGCCGATGATGATGTGCATTAAACACAATGCTAAGCATTCGGTTGAAGATTAGGCAAATTTCAGTTGGGTTACGGCCAAACCTGCTAACCATGTCAGTGTAGCGACATGGGTAGGCCAGTCTTTTCAGAAGGATGCATAGACCTTCCAAGCCACTACAAGATGTTCTCTGACAGCAAATTATTTTATCAGGAATGCCAAGACAGTTAAGTAGTTTCGGGATATCACTTTTCCTGAATCGCAACTCTTTATGACATTCAGTATCATCCCAACTTTCAAAATCAAACTTGTCAAATTTCCAATATGGAAAAATTTCTCGCGATTGGTTTGTTTGATAAAGATAAACAAAATCTTCAATATCAATTACATCTGATAAGTAAGCAAGGGTAAGTTGTTCACGAAACTCTTGCAAACTATTTCCTGCCATTTTTGATTTCGTAAACGTATAAAAAATGCACGTCGTCATATTCGTAAGAATTTTTAAAATTTAAAACAAAAGATATACAGTATCAACCGTCTTACAAAGTCTTCGAAATTGTACGTGGAGTATGTCAAAGAAATACTTTAAAGCAAAGAGCAACCTCTCCCATTTCCTCGACACAAATATAAAGAAAGACGTATAAACATGAACAATATATAAAATATGAACAATATAAATATTAATATATCAAACTTACCCAATCGACTTTGATTTATACATGAACATTCATGTCCATTGTCCACACGGCGAAATCTTGACAAAAATATGCAGATTTGTATTCAGATCGTACAAATTTTAAATCTTAAAAATTCGAAGTTTATTCCAACTTGGTAATTCTTTTATATGCTACCGCCGTCGTTCACGGAACAATTTATACCAGCTAAATCACAATTTGTTTACGACGTGGTGGCGTCCTAGACTCAGACCCCTCGCGCAAAAATGACGTCCTCGTTGAAGTCGCGTCGTCTTTGCTAAACCTCTCTAATATATAGTCTGCGCGCAGGGGTTAGGATAAAACGCGGATACGGACGGACGGATGGATGGCGGACGGACGGACGGATGAGTGGCGGACGGACGGACGGACGGATGGTTCCAAAAAACGTTTTTCAGCCTTTTTTAAGCCATATCCGCGTTTTATCCAAAAGGGTATCCAAAAGGATAAAACGCGGATATGGTCCAAAAAACGTTTTTCAGCCTTTTTTAAGTCATATCCGCGTTGATAAAACGCGGATATGGTCCAAAAAACGTTTTTCAGCCTTTTTTAAGCCATATCCGCGTTTTATCCAAAAGGGTATCCAGAAGGATAAAACGCGGATATGGTTCAAAAAACGTTTTTCAGCCTTTTTTAAGTCATATCCGCGTTTTATCCAAAAGGGTATCCAAAAGGAAAAAACGCGGATATGGTCCAAAAAACGTTTTTCAGCCTTAGCTTTTTTAAGTCATATCCGCGTTTTATCCAAAAGGATAAAACGCGGATATGGTCCAAAAAACGTTTTTCAGCCTTTTTTAAGCCATATCCGCGTTTTATCCAAAGAGGGCATATCGATATGTATAAAGAATATTGAATATTGTCCTAGAATTTGAACAAATAAAAACCAATAATATGTCTCTTCGCTTAAATACTTACTGCGAGATAAGAGTTCTAAAATTACAATTTAGTGTTAATTAATAAAGTTTTAATTCAGTGTCAGTTATCTGGTATGTAGTACTCCAATTTTATGCCAACGTAATGTGCTGCTTTTTAAAGGCTTTGATGTCAATGCAGTTATCGGTTTAAATATACCTACAATTCGAAGATATGACAATTGCTGTACGGCCTACTTTCTATACGTAAACGCAAATTACAATTGCAACGTTCATCCTTAATTTTCTCTGTTATCTGGGCATGTAGTAATGTAATTTTATGCCACTGCAATGTGCTATTTTTCAAGGGCTTTTCAATGCAGTTATCGGTTTAAATATACCTAAAATTCCCGTTAAGATATGACAATTGCCGTACGGTCTACTTTTACGCGAACGCAAATTACAACTGCAACTTTCATGCTTAATTTTCTCTGTTATCTAGGCATGTATAGTAATGTAATTTTATGCCAATGCAATGTGCTATTTTTCAAGGGCTTTTCAGTGCAGTTATCGGTTTAAATATACCTCAAATTTCCGTTAAGATATGACAATTGCCTTACGGCCTACTTTTACGCGAACGCAAATTACAACTGCAACTTTCATGCTTAATTTTTTCTGTTATCTGGGCCGATGTAGTAATGTAATTTTATGCCAATGTAAGGTGCTAGGGCTTTTCAATGCAGTTATCGGTTTAAATATACCTCAAATTCTCGTTAAGATATGACAATTGCCGTACGGCCTACTTTTACGCAAACGCGAATTACAATTGCCACTTTCATGCTTAATTTCTTCTGTTATCTGGGCATGTACTTTATGCCACTTTGGCAACACGGCCGGATAACAGAGAAAATTAACTCTCTTTCGTTTGGCGCCGAAATATAAACCAGGTTGAAACCGACCTTGTATTTTGCAGGTTCTTATCTTCGGTTCAGTGCATGTTATGTAGCAAATCCAATTGGAGCAAAGTCAAATTGAACATGTTCAAGGATTAAAGCATACTGGTCGACACAAATTCCTTTGAATTGAACTACATTCACATGATGTAGTTTTGAAAGAAGCCTCGCTTCTTTGACTAACGATTCGGTCTCCCCTCAGTCATGGCTGGAGTCTACCAGCTTCTTGACAACGAATGTTCTATCGTTCTCGGGCAACTTTGTTGTAAAGACAGTTGTTCGGTAATTTAAAGAGAATCGTATTTCCGCCTGCCATGATTATTGCAAAATTGTAATTTTAGAACTCTTATCTCGCAGTTGCAATTTGCGTTTGCGTAAAAGTAGCCCATACGGCAATTGTCATATCTTAACGAGAATTTTAGGTATATTTAAATCGATAACTGCATTGAAAAGCCCTTGAAAAATAGCACCTTACATTGCCATAAAATTACATTACTACATGCCCAGATAACAGAGAAAATTAAGCATGAAAGTTGCAGTTGTCAATTTGCGTTTGCGTAAAAGTAGGCCGTACGGCAATTGTCATATCTTAACGGGAATTCGAGGTATATTTAAACCGATAACTGTACTGAAAAGCCCTAGCAAAATAGCACCTTACATTGGTATAAAATTATATTACTACATGCCCAGATAACAGAAGAAATTAAGCATGAAAGTTGCAGTTGTAATTTGCGTTCGCGTAAAAGTAGGCCGTACGGCAATTGTCATATCGATCTTAACGGCAATTTAAGGTATATTTAAACCGATAACTGTACTGAAAAGCCCTAGCAAAATAGCACCTTACATTGCCATGAAATTACATTACTACATGCCCAGATAACAGAAGAAATTAAGCATGAAAGTTGCAGTTGTAATTTGCGTTCGCGTAAAAGTAGGCCGTACGGCAATTGTCATATCTTAACGGAAATTTGAGGTATATTTAAACCGATAACTGCACTGAAAAGCCCTTGAAAAATAGCACATTACATTGGCATAAAATACATTACTACATGCCTAGATAACAGAGAAAATTAAGCATGAAGTTGCAGTTGTAATTTGCGTTCGCGTAAAAGTAGGCCGTACGGCAATTGTCATATCTTAACGGAAATTTTAGGTATATTTAAACCGATAACTGCATTGAAAAGCCCTTGAAAAATAGCACATTACAGTGGCATAACATTACATTACTACATGCCCAGATTACAGAGAAAATTAAGAATGAACGTTGCAATTGTAATTTGCGTTTACGTATAGAAACAGGGCCGTATAGGAAGCTCTTTTCGATTGGGGGGCTGAAAGCGAGGGCCGAAGGCCCGAGGAAATTTTTAAATTTAGAGTCTCTAAAATGCCATTTCCTGGACTTTGGGGGAAGATTTAACAGAATTCTGATAGTTAGAAAACAGCGTTTTAGTATGTCGAAATTTACAGGAAAGTATGGGCCAGACTGTTGTTGCCCCCGCAGGGTTTTGGCCCCAGAGGGCCAAAACCCGAGGAGGCATATATTGAAGTCCCCGGACGTAATAGTGTAATATGATATCAGTGTATACATACGGTGTATACCAGAGGCAGAGAAATTTAAGTTTTTAGGTTTTCGCCCGCAAAGCATTGGTGGGTAATATCAATGCTTTGCGGGTAATATCGCAAAACATTGGGGGTATTGAAGTCCCCGCACGTAATATGATATAAGTTGATGCAAATATAAATTAAGCATGAATTGTTAAAGCTATCAAGATTAGAATTAGCAATTAGTTTATATATTACAGTAAAAGGCCACAAGTTTAAAAGGTGAGGGTTCAAAGGTTGCGTTGCTTTCTGTAAGAATTATTATTCGCTTGGGTCAACACCTTGTCAAACGGCATTTTATTTCTGTGGTCTGTTTTACGTGTCTATTAATTAATAGACTTGTGAGGTACGTTGTTACTATCATTTGTTGGTGAAGGAGTCGATCCATCAAATAACGAAAACAGTAACGCAAATTAAAAACTCCGTCTATCAAGATTCTATCAAGTATCAACTATACGATTTTTCAGACACATTAATCAAAACAGGAACCAAAAGACTTGGTTCACAAATCAGTCAGTCAAAAACAAATACAAATATAAAAAATTGAGCAAAGCTTAACACACAACGGTCACATTATAAACGTTTGTATAACAAGGGACTCATATAGTCATTGTTCCATTATATTGAAAAGCGCCATTCCTTCAGCCGGATAGACGCACAAGGATCAAGTTACACGTGGTTCACTTTTAAAGTTCGTCCAATTTTATCAATCTTCTAAGCGTTTTGAAAGAAAGCCAGAAAGTAGTAATAACATTTTGTAAATTACCATAAGGCACGATCATTTTTAATTTTTAATAACAGCTAGTTAGTACACCATGATCAGCCGGGGGCAGTTTTAGTGTAAACTATTTCTAGTAGTATTATAAATGCGCGGCGGGAATTTTCGTCGTAAATGGCAGTTGCGCGGAAATGAAGGCAGAACATTTGAGAAAATTTCGAAAATCTGGAGTCTCTAGATGGTCTGAAATGGCATTTTCAGAGTTTTCTTTCGCAAGACCCAACACGCAAAAGACAAAATAAATCATTAGTTTATCAAAAATGTGCAGATTTTGTGGGATTTTCTTGAAAATGCGCGACAGAAATTCAACTAAAATTTCTACGCGAGGAACGATCTGGAGTATGAGTAATATCTTCATTCTTTGCAGTTTGTCACAGATTAAATGATAAAGTTTGCATGATTTTGAAAATAGAATGATTATTAGCAAATTATTGGGGGGGGCTGCAGCCCCCCCCAGCCCCCCCGGTTGCTACGGCCCTGAGAAAGTAGGCCGTACAGCAATTGTCATATCTTCGAATTGTAGGTATGTTTAAACCGATAACTGCATTGACATCAAAGCCTTTGAAAAGCAGCACATTACGTTGGCATAAAATTGGAGTACTACATACCAGATAACTGACACTGAATTAAAACTTTATTAACACTAAATTGTAATTTTAGAACTCTTATCTCGCAGTAAGTATTTAAGCGAAGAGACATATTATTGGTTTTTATTTGTTCAAATTCTAGGACAATATTCAATATTCTTTATACATATCGATATGCCCTCTTTGGATAAAACGCGGATATGACATTCGGAAAAAGGCTGAAAAACGTTTTTTGAACCATATCCGCGTTTTATCCTTTTGGATACCCTTTTGGATAAAACGCGGATATGGCTTAAAAAAGGCTGAAAAACGTTTTTTAAAAGCCATCCGTCCGTCCGTCCGCCACTCATCCGTCCGTCCGCCATCCATCCGTCCGTCCGTATCCGCGTTTTATCCTAACCCCTGCGCGCAGGCTAGCGAAATCTGGGCTCCTCAAGGTCCGTCTGCTGATCTGCTTCATCTCGAAAGAATTCGACGTCGAGCAACAAAATTTCTTCTTAAGGATTATAAATTGTCGTACGTTGGTCGCTTGAAAAACTGAATCTAATCCCCCTCTCATACTAGCATGACATATTCCTCTACAAATGTAAATACCGGTTGTACGAACAACTCGACATCAATCAGTATATTACCCAGCCTCTTCACCACTACACTCGTTCCAGTTCTGGCAATCTTTGTCCAAACCTGTGCAATACCTCCCTCTTCCGAAACTTGTTTAGCATTTTTAAAAAGACATTGAATAATTTGAAGATAAAACACATGACATAAGATTCACAAAGCAAATTTCAGTTATAGAATATCAAACCTCCCTTCTAAATTCCATTTTTCTTCCAATGTTGCCAAAATGCTTGAGTGTGGGGGAGGAGCACCATGGGGGCTGGGGGAGGGGACTTTGAACCCCAGTTATATGGTCAAAAAAGGTCCTGTGCTATATTAATAGCCATTATATAATATGACAATTACGTTATATGGGTGTGATTGCATGCTTGACACTTGCTCCTAAACCTCTCTCCTCCACAGAGGCTTTGAGGAGCTACTGTATTAAAAATATATGCGCTAGACGGTAATGTTACAGAGTTATGCGCTAGACGGTAATATCCATGTAACGAGGAAACCGCTAAAATTCGGAACGCGGGCAAGGAGGGCGCAAGGGGGGGGGGGCGAGGAAAGGGAATGCTTTCACTTTCCTCGCCCCCCCCTTGCGCCCTCCTTGCCCGCGTTCCGAATTTTAGCGGTTTCCTCGTTACATATTACCGTCTAGCGCATAAGTCTGTAACATTACCGTCTAGCGCATATATTTTTAATACAGTAGCTCCTCAAAGCCTCTGTGGAGGAGAGAGCTCCTAAACAATGCTTGTGAATTGTGATATTTGGTACCAGACTTTTATAGGTCTTTCAAAATTATTGGTGTGCGATCGCCCCTCCCCCTTAAAATACATCCTTTAACCACCAATGAAATGGGATCATCATCAAGTGAACAACCAATCAGACGCTCCCGACTTATAAAGGGTGTCTGTAAAAGCCGGAACCCCACCCGGAATACCCGGAACCCACCCGGAACACCCGGAACCCTACCCGGAACACCCGGAACCCCTCCCAGAATACCCGGAACCCTACCCGGAACACCCGGAACCCCACCCGGAACACCCGAAACCCCAGGAACCCCACCCGGAACACACTGGAATACGAGCTATGAAGCAACGCACGTGTTTCTCTATAAATTCACGTGTTTCGCATTAAATTCGGGGTGATGGATGGTTACGATCTTTACTTTTTACTTGTATTGTTATTTTTTTAAATAATTTTTCTCATGGGCAAGGATAAATATATTATGTCGGGCGGTATATATTATCAAATGCATGTTTTGCTTGTTTGTAAACGTGCAAACGAAGTTTCGCTCGAGGCGTTTGCCGCATGTATTTATTGCCGCATCTATATTTTTCGTTTTCAATATTCTGCCGTACTATGTACCTGTGACTCTATTCTAAATTTAGTTGAACAATAACCAATATTTAACTTTGCTATCTTTTTTATTATTTGAATAATATGTTTGCATATGGTTACTTTGACTTTCAATTGTATGAAACGGCGCCATGTAGGAATTTAGAGGAATTATAAAGTTCATCCGTATTTATTACAATAATAATTGTCGTGGATTTGGGAAATTTGTCATGGATATCGATTTCTTTACTAGACTTACTCGTTTTTTTGGAACTTTTAAAGACGTTTTAGTAATTTGGAGGCTGTTTTGTATATGACAATGACTGCAGCTACAGTAAAAGTGCACGCGCGAGATCTCAGAATAACAGTATTATTAAGTAAGCCCCCTTGATGAGTGTGTACGCTCTTGGGGCAAACTCATTCTCATCAGAAATATGTTTAAATAAAGTAGCTAATATATTATATGTATTGCTAGGAATTCCCAAAACATTCATTTGGCATTGAAAACGTTAACAACCAACAAGCAGGATGATGTCATATAAATATATAAAGCATGAGGCAAAACGTCCATGCTCCTTCGATCAACGGCAGTAAATAAATATTGTATTTAATATATTAAATTAAGGACTGTGTTACTGTTGAAGTTATAACATGAACGTTTTGCCTAGTGGCTAGTGCTTTATATATACGACACCAGCTTGTTGATTTGGTTGTCAACGTTTTCAATGACAAATGAATGTTTGGGGAATTTCTAGCAATACATATAATTTACTAGCTACTTAATACTGTTATTCTGAGATCTCGCGCGTGCACTTTTACTGCATGTTGGCTGCAGTCATTGTCATATACAAAACAGCCTCTAAATTACTAAAACGTGTTTCAAGTTTCAAAAAGCGAGTAAGTCTAGTAAAGAAATCCATGAAAAATTTCGCACAAATCCACGAGAATTCGTATTGTAATAAATACGGATGAACTTTATAATTCCTCTAAATTCTTACATGGCGCCGTTTCATACAATTCCAAGTCAAATAACCATGTGCAAACATATTATTAAAATAATAAAAAAGATAGCAAAGTTAAATATTGGTTATTGTTCAACTAAATTTAGAATAGAGTCACAGGTACATAGTACGGCAGAATATTGAAAACGAAACTGAAATATAGTACATGCGGCAAAAGCCTCGAGCGAAACTTCGTTTGCACGTTTACAAGCAAGCAATACTCATGCATTTGATATTAATATGTACCGCCCGACATAATATATTTATCCTTGCCCATGAGAAAAATTATTTTAAAAAAACAACAATACAAGTAAAAAGTAAAGATCGTAACCATCTATCACCCCGAATTTAATGCAAAACACGTGAATTTATAGAGAAACACGTGCGTTGCTTCATAGCTCGTATTCCAGCGTGTTCCGGGTGGGGTTCCGGGTGTTCCGGGTGGAGTTCCGGGTGGAGTTCCGGGTGTTCCGGGTGGGGTTCCGGGTAGGGTTCCGGGTGTTCCGGGAGGGGTTCCGGGTGTTCCGGGTAGGGTTCCGGGTGTTCCGGGTGGGGTTCCGGGTGGGTTCCGGGTGTTCCGGGTGGGGTTCCGGCTTTTACAGACACCCACTTATAAAAGAACGCAAACAGAATTTCAAACTCATTGATTGTAACATAATTCTGGAAAAGACTTGAAGTACCGACTAGAAAGCTCAATAAATTAAACTTATTATCGATCCGGAGAACTTTCACAAACTCACAAATTATAATATGCCTGGATTACAAATCTTTAAATATAGTCATCCGACTCACCCACCGTATATGAGCTATTCTGTAATCTGATTGTTTGAGCTACTTGGCGTATCATATACGTCGACGTCGTTTTTATTATATTTAGTGAAAAACAAGATGGCGGCATAAAAACTACAAGAGTTTTGCGAACGGGACCAACTTTTTGTAATTTTCGAAGGCTGGGGAGGGGTTTTAACCCTATTTCCTCCATGTGCACCCTGCAGAAATGTAGACTTTAGTGGAATAAGTACAAAATTTGGCAAATACAGGGTGTATAAAAAAAGGTGATCGAACTTCAGCGCGCTATTGTACGTGAATTACTCCGCGTATGAACTTTTTTTATATTCGAAAAGAGCAGGATTTTAGCTATTGATTGACATGTTTTTCATGCCAAGTGGGGAAAAAATAAGCAAGTACGAGTCCGATAAAAATGTTAGTCAAAATCGCATATTTTCACCTCTGTGCCTAATTAAAGCAGTGCATAACAAAAGAAAAAGCAATTAATCACAAACTTGTCGTAGCTTAGCTAAGATTTATTCGTACTTAATAATAATTATGAATATGTGCGTAGTTTATTGAAATGAATTTTCATCAACTTAAGTCCCAAAGGGGGTTAAACCCAACTCTCAACGGTTTTAAACCCAACTCTCAACGGTGAAAATATGCGATTCTGACTAACATTTTTTATCAGATTCGTATTTGCTCATTTTTTACTCATTTGGCCTGAAGAACATATCAATCAACAGCTAAAAACCTGATCTTTCCGTTCTTTCTCGTTCATACGCAGAGTAATTCAGATACAATAGCGCGCTGAAGTTCGATTACCTCTTTTTTTTATACAGTCACCCTGTATATGCTATGATCGTTTTTTACCAAATTTCGCTATATCATGCAGGAGAAAGCTCAAATTATCAATATGCTGCACCACACGGCTGACGTACAAACAATATACTTATTGGTCTAAGTAGCAATATTATATAGTATTTGGCGTACGACAGTTGATACAAAGTTTTAAGTTCCTAGCTAGTATATTTTAAAGTGCGTCTTAAAATTCAAACACTATCACCAATTTTCTCCTTCAACACTGGAACAACACATGTATTGTACTCTTGCTTTGGTGGGTTTCGTCGGCGAAATGTGAGAAACAGTGTAACAAGGAGAAGAATAGCGAGGAAAGCAACAATACCCTGCCATACAACAATTGGTTCCATGCTACTATTGCCAGATTTTTCTTCTTTCTCTGATTCCAACTTTGCTGCTACGTGATCACATACACCTTTTGGAATATTCTGACCTGTTAAAATAATATCAATTATTGTTAGAACAAGAAGGAACACAGTATAGGGTATCAGGACTGGCGTTCCTTGGCCATTACAAGTGAGGAGAGGGTTGACACCCCATTTTTACCAACGAAAACCTACTCATCCCCTCCCTTCGATTTCTAAATAAGTCAGAAAAATTAAGGTTGAATTTTCAATCTCCTCTTACAGATACAATGTGACTCAATTTGATCAAAAATCTATAATATTGTAAAGTACTATTGGTAAAAACCAACTGAAACAGCAGATGCAGTAAGTGCTTGACAAAGACGCTAAAAAAGATTTTACCGATTTTCCCATATTTTACCGATCCGCGTTCCATTTTATACTGACAATCTTAGCAAAAATTTGGGGCCCAACCCCACCCGCTCCTCGCCCCCTCGCTAGGTACGCCTCTTGTTGCATGAGTGATATGAGTAGGTAGCTGCATCATATGCCAAGTTCTTCTCAATATAATTTTCGCATACTAGTGATTTTCTAAATATTGAAGAGAAGCATTAACTCACCTATTGGTCGTACTATCGTCCATATCAGTTGGTCTTTTTTAAACCTGTTGTCAGCTGTACAACGGTATAATCTTATTCCTCCTGCTTGATGAGGCAAGATTTTGATAGTGTTATTCTGTCTTGACTGAACTGGTTTCCAATCATCCGTACTCTGACAAGATATTACATTATTGACATCTTTGTCGCAATACGCCCACGAATACGTGATGTTTTCAGGATTAGCGGTTTCCGACAGTACACAATGAAGACGAAGGTTCTTCTTGTATATTTGAATTTCTGATTTGAGTGCAACCAAACGTGGTTTGGCTAAAGATGGAAAAACATATATAGATGTAATCAACAAGTACTCAAGTAGAAAATTCCAGTAACATCATTAGGCGCCTCATGAATGTTTAGTCGCAGATTTAGCCACCACATGCATGTCTCTCATAACGTTTCCTGAGGGTAAGGAGCATTCTTAATTTATCTAGGCGGGAGCGGGCTAATCCGTGCGTCATAAAAAAGTTGTGCACATAAAGTAGGCTGTTAGTTTCGCAAAGGAGAAATTTTCATCTGAACTATTGAGGGCAGTATTGACCAATTCTGATCGAAAGTCTTTTGCATGTTAATCTTAATAACATAAATTAAGTTTGATCGAAACTCTTTTGTTAATCCCTGCCCCCTATTATTTCCGCTCGTACGCTTATGGCATCTACATACTGCAACCACTGAAAACGTTCGCATATTAGGAGAGAATCAGGAGTTCATGATTCCCTCTACTGAGTAGTCGTTCATTTCAAGTTGTCCGGCATACCTCGTGCATGATCTCATTTTTAGGTCAACTACAATAGGTCTATACATGCATGCACCCAATTGACGATCTATAGTTTTTTTCTGGCGCAACTGGACTTGACTAAACATTTGGTCTGAAGCAAATTAGTTATTTATATTTTTAGAAGCCATCAATTGTTGGTTTATATTATCATATTATGTTATGTTTAATATGGACGAAAGTACAATTATAGGTAGGATGTTAATCATATCTTTGCCGAGCGAGTTTCCAAACCACATCTCGAATGCATGATCGCTTTTGCTGTAATCAGCTCAGGCGACTACAATATATTTATCACTTATTTACTGAGACCGAGGGAAACAGTGTGTTTTGTGGCCCCGAGACCGCCGTTGTTGCCCGAGGCGAAGCCGAGGACAACAACGGCGGTCGAGGGGCCACAAAACACACTGCTTTCTCGAGGTCTCAGTAAATAAGTGTTTTGTTATATAGTATATAAGTGTCAAAGTATGAATAATTCACTGGTTATTGGAGTAAACTTAATTTGAAACCAAAACTGGATAAATGGAACGCCGTAAATGTTTAGTAAAAAGTTTAAAAATAAACTTTGGAACTTCATGGTTGACACGCATGCGTATTGCACCCATTTTATTATTGACCGGTCAATAAATGTTTCATTGCGGACCGGTTGCCGAACATGACGTTTTGTGGACCGGCACGTGATACGGTTTTGACCAATCGGCAAATTGAGAAAAATTTAACTTTGACACCAACTATATAACAAAAATATTTATAATATATACTTACTTTTTACAAACACCGTGAAGTTTTTTTCATCTTGTCCTTTAACATTTTCGGCTCGGCAAATGTATGTAACATTGTGATGCCGTACGTAGCTAGCATTCTTGATAACAAATGAATGTAATTTTACTTCAATATCTTTGTTATTTATAGGTAAACATGTGTTTGTCGTCCCAGAACACTTAGTAATAAGTTCTCTCTTGCCATCCACGGCTTTATACCAGGCGACATCAGGGCTTGGCGTCCCTAATACACAGTAGTTGACGTCATGGGTTTCTTCCTCTTTTTCAATCAACTTTCCATTACGAGGAAAATTTGAAATAACGGGCATGGCTAATGCTAAAAGTAAAAATAGTCGTAAACTACAATTTAGTACATTTTGCAAATGAACCTGCGCAATATAGTTGACAGTCCGGCAACTACATGACAATTGTTGTTTCTGGTGTTTTGTTTCATGTGAAGATATATTGTTTGCGATGTTGTCTCTGAGTGTGTCCACACCGGACAAGCTGATACGTTTGCTTGACCGCGGTGGGGATCGAATCCGCGACGTTTGATTTGCTAGTCATTCAATGTTCTACCAACTGAGCTACGAGTTCCAGTCAGTTCGAGTGGGTGATATTTCGGATCTCACTCTAGTTCTTTGTGGACACACTCAGAGACAACATCACAAACATATAACTTCGCATTTATTTGTATCGATCCCCATAGCTTGTCTGCATCTTGCAATTTGCATAATCAATTGATTAACATTGGTATAGGGGAAGGGCAGTGGTTGAAAGACAGCAGGTTGATTCTTTGCTACACGCATCACAACAAAACCATTTTGGGAATATTGTCTCAATTAAGTCATGTAGCGCCCGATAGTCAGTTTAAAAATCGACTAAGGTCTAATGTATGCATTTCATTAAGAAACACACAAGGAGCCTACGCGCGATCTTCTATTTCATATTTATAAGACCTCAGTTTTATACTGAAATGCCTATGTGTTGTCATAACCCTAACTTGATGGAAAGACATTGGGCACACCAAATACAAAACAACGAATTAAAATTTTCCGAGCAAATTTTTTCCACCTAAATAAGCCATGCAAATACGGAAAATGTTACAAGTGAGGTACAATAAAGGGTTATAATAGAGGGTTAATTAATACAGCTGGATTAATTAATACATGCCTAACATAAGCAGTAGCTACTTTTAATTCTCACTTCCATTCCATAATTTGTTTAATAATATCCCGTATTTTATAATTATCGCGTAGTTTCCATACTAATATATTCTGTAATGTTTTTATAATATTCTGTAGTTTAGGCTTCCCCACTCAAATATGCACACAATTACATTAGTCATGCATATACCCAAAAGTAAGCACTTCAATGGAGTACCACTTACTCTCTAACTGTAGTTTAACATGATCCGTTTTACGAATGTAATTTACACCGTATCGTCGGACTTGACAAAAATATTCTTCGTTCTCCTCTATAAAGTTGGATATTCTCAGTACTTCTCTTTGTACTCTGTTGTTGTAATCAGACGACCAGGTAGGCCGACTTGTCGATTTTTGTTCTAAATAGTTTCCATTTGATTGCACTTTAAACCATAACATTTCATAATCATTGTAACTCCCTTTCAACGAACATTCTAGTGTAACAGTACTTCCATATTTTACGATTGAAGAGGTTGGTGGTTTCGAAATTTCTGGCTTTGCAAATGGTGTACCTAAATAACAAGTAATTTTTTCACAAATTTTAGCCAAAAAATGATAACTTCAATTAACCAGGAAATGTATCGTTCCCTTTTAAATACAGGATACAACTTATTATATGTAACTGGTGTATATGTTGGCAAGAAATGATCCTAGTATACTCTAAACAGGGCATTTTTTAACTATATAACTACTGGGGCATTTACCTTTGAGCAACCCCTTTTGCTCGCCCCGGTAGTGAAGCATGATTTTCAGATGAGCTGGGCCCATTATTAGTAAAAAGTCAACCTTGGTGAAAAAGCTAGATCTGCCTGCTTTCTCATATCCTCTCACATTCTCGATCTTATAAAAGTCAGCACAGGGTGCTAAAAGGGGGTTGGGGGTGTGGAACACCCCGAATCGTCAGGTAGTCTGGAAATTATCTAATCCCAGTTGGATAGGAAGGAGAGAAACTAAAACATTTGATTGACACTGATAAAAATCTAATAATTGTAGCTAAAATTATGGAAAAATTAGACAAACAATGCTACGTTAACCCAAACGAAAAGTATAGTGCTTGTGATGTTACTCCGAGCGCATATCCACACCGGGCAAGCCACCGTGGTCCGGGCATATCTTTCAAGCTTGCCCGGTGTGGATATGCACTCGGAGTAACATCACTAGCATCATATTCACCTGAGTACACTGACACCAACACAGAAATATCACGAAAAGTATAATGTACGGAAAATCTGTGAAGTTGAGCCGTGAAGCCCCCCCCCCCTCGCTCGCCATCAATTTTGGGAAAATAAATACCCCCCTCGCTCGCCATCAATTTTGGGAAAATAAATACTAATTAGCGTTTGAAATTAGTAGGCAATATTTCACTCATACCTCCCCCCCCCCGTTCAAATTGGGCTAGCGCCACCCCTGAGCACATGATGATTTTTATGTACCCGTAATTGTGTGGGGAAAAGGCGCTTATTGAGACTTAGCCCCGGTAGTTGTAATTTCTTAAAAAATGCCATGACTCTAAAATTGGCAAAATGGTTCAATAATCATAATTATATTTAATAAATGTATTATATTGTTGGAATCTTAGAAAAAGATCAAACAGGCAACCACTTTTACGTGTTAAGAGAGAATAAACGAACATAAAACTTTCAAGGACTAATAACAGCCATACGAGTCCACCCTTTTTGTACACAGCGCTGAATAAAGTTTCAAGAACATAAAATTTGATGGTCTCACCTCTTTTAACATTCATTCTAAGATGAGTCTTCGTATTACCACAAGCTTTACAATAATATTTCCCCATATCGCTCAGCTGCAGATTTGTGATGTTGAATTTGTTCTTCGAGATCACTTTTACTCGGCCAACTATTTCTATTTTTTTATTCTGGTTGAACCATAATGTGGCATCAACTTGGTCATTATTATTCACAGTGCAGTCAACAACCCTCCATTCACCAACGATGGACCAAATGTAATTGTTAACATAATTATTTGCCCATCTAAAATCTAAAAATTATATGTTCATTAAATTCTGAGACTTTTTCATCAAAAAGATTGGAATCGTTGTTGCCCAGCCTGAGTGCAGGTACCACATAATTAATTCCCCGCCGCTTATAACTTAAACATTGCAAAACAATTATACAGTATCAAGTAGTTTTGTCCACTACCAGGGTGATCCAGTGAAGGTATGGTATTATGCATGGTAATTCGCGCGGATGTTACAGTTTTTGAAACGGTATAATTTTTATTATTTTGAAACGAGAATTGCATGTATATACAATAAATTAACATCTTGTAAACTCAGCCTCAGGAGGATATGAGTTATTAAAGAACAAGACACAAAATTTAAGGTAATATTTCGACCTTAAGTCATTCATGTCAAACCTAATTATTTTTACAAGCGTGGTCAGATCTTTATAATTGGCAGACAGGAAAATGACGAAATCAACATAGAAAATGAATTTTTTAGCGATTCCCAGCAGCCTTTCGCGCTTGTATTCGACTTTACCGCTTCCGCTGGGGACAACCTTAATTGAAATAGCTGTATATTTACAAACATATATTGTTATTAAAATTGGAGAGAAACATGCAGCTATAGTTCGTTTGATGTCTTCAAGCCGCTGAATGTTAAGTTTAATCTAATTCTAATCTGCATGTGATTTAAGTTAAATACGCTTGTATAGGCTAAATATAGTTGGGTTTAAAAATGGCTTTGAATTAGAGTGGAAAAATTTTCTTAAATTCTGTGTCTTAAAGTGGAAGTCAAGTCCGTAATGTAAACAAACGGTTTGTTTACATTTTGAACTGCTGTATTTTTTAAAATAAGATGTACTGTCTGAATATCTAATACCATTTTGGTTCGCTATGCTTCTAAATGAATATGAAATAGAGTTTATGTTCACATTGTTATGAGCAGAACCGATGCGCAGAACGGACTTGACTTCCACTTTAATTGTTCTAACTCGTAATATCTCGAGACAAGTGTTAAGTTTGTTTTATATTTTGGGAAAGTTTCTGCCTTGATGGGCGTGGAAAAGGATTAACGAGAACTGATCCCTTTTCTTTAAATTTCTTTTAAGAAGCCGATCCGGGAAAACATGCACGGTGACATACATCTTTAGGAATTAATCAGTTAGGCCAAGTCTAAACGCCGCATTTTCCATGCGCCGAATCAAATACATATTCGAGTCGACTTGAATTGAATTGAATTGAATTGACATTTTTCACATTTTAATTCAGATGTCGCAATTAATTGATTTGCAAAGCCCGTCAAATGGCGCCAAATCCAAACTATATGGCGGATGAAGTTGATAAGAGAAAAAACTTTACGTTTACGCCCATCAAACATCATTCGTGCCAACAGAAAACGACGACTTTTAATGCATATGGCAGTAAATAACCTCTTGGCAAGGAGAAGGCAGAAGACGGGTGCTCCTTATTGGTTGAAGTATACAGAATAGTGCGTGGCACGCGCGTGCGAGTAAAACCCGATATTTTGAAAAATTCAAAATAAATATTTCTTCTCGCCGTATTCAAACGAAACTTTCTACATGAGAGCGCTTGAATACACTTTACTCCTATGGTCTTTGAGTGAATAACGAAAAGTTTAGAAGATATCCAAGATTCTCCAAATGATTGTATGTATGTATGATTGTTTTAGAGTTTGCGTAATGTTTTGACGGCATTTGGCCCCCGTGCAAACGGGTATTTTGTGAGGATTTCAATGTTGGTTTTCGTTTAAAAGGGGGTAAATATACTCGCTGAGATATTTACATTAAAAACAATTGAATCGTAATACTGTAATTGCGATATATGTCGAGAAAGAGTTGTTAAACAAGTGTATTTCGTCTCGATTGAACAATAAAAACAGTCGTCAATTTCAAGCTCAAGCTGTATAGGCCTATCCTATCTGCGCATGTCATTTTGCATGAAACCGCGGAGTTATAGGTAATAATATTTTAACATAATTTATGCATTAGATTCGACTCATGTAAAATGTGGCGTTTAAATCAACAATCGACTTTTAGTCGAATATTCGACTGAGTCAGTCGAATATTCGACTGAAGTCGCACTTAATTCAAACATGTCGAATTTAATTTAATTGATTTAAACATCGCATTTCACATGCATGTAATTCAAAAATTTGATTCAGCGAATATAAAATGCGTTAACAATTATTGAAGGCCTTGATATGCTCAAACTTATTGATACTTATCAATAAAATAAAACAAAAATCCTTAAAGTAAGTGAAACACGTCATGTCATAGAAACGCCTGGGTGTGCGCTGTAGCACGAGCGAAGCCTGAATGGGCTTTTTTACGGCAACACCACACAATTATAGCAACTTACTGGAGCAGTTGGACAACAGGGACAACTGTACTGGGACAACAGTATCAGCCAAAAGTAGCAAGAGTAGAAACTTTAGAATGTTCGGTAAAATTAAGTTGGACATCTTTGCAACTTTTCACTTTATTCTATAAGAAAAACGGAATAAAAATTGTAAGGAATGCAATGTAATGAACAGGCCTAATTGTACTTGTCACATATTACCTTCCGTTTTCACACATACCTGTGCCCTTAGCAACGCTAGATCTGCAATGACTGAACCTGTAGTACTGAATTGAAGCCACTGTGACTGTGAGTAATACTGACTAATGCGATGTTGAGAATGCTTCATTTTATACACTTCGTTGGTATAAAGACTCCTCGTCATTGTCACATGTAACAGTGGTCTATGACTGTATGACTACGCATAACACAATTCTAGAACCTACTGGAATACTGTTCATGTAGTTGATTATTTAATCATCTTTGTCATTTATAATTATATGCACATGTATTTTTCCGTGTAATATAAAAAAATGGGTCAGACTGACGCATTTTAAGAAGGTTATCGCCGAGAGAAAACACGATGATTTGCTCATATATAGACATATAGTTTCAACTTGCATAGAAACCATAGTGATTTTTATAGAAAAGTATGTGATAATCAGTTGCTATAATATCGCTGATCATTCGACCGTATAAGGAAGTTATTTAAAGGAAGCTTAATATTAAACTGCACGTTGACGACCACCAATTAATTCATTCTTTCGATCAAATATATTCACTCATATCAAATATAGTATATAGTATTTTATAAATATCTACGGACGATCAAATGTATCTGCAAATTGTAACTCAGGTGAAAGCAATTAATTTACAAACGGCACTAAATACGCGAGCCAAAATAATGGCGTCCCAAATTGTGGGCCCACAGACACAGTATATCAGATTTAAACAAGCTCCCCTACTGCATAACAACTTATTAATCTTTGGCTTTTTTTCAGTAGATTATTTAAGAAATAGAAAACATCCGTATTTCTATACAGTTATCGAAACACGCGTGGGAGTTTGGGAGAACGAGAAATGGCGAGTTATCCACGTTATTTCGAGTAGTCCAAAACTATACCACGCAAGTGCATGTGTGTCTATATACACTCTATAGAAATACATGGAATATGTTTTCTAGCTCTTCTACAGTAAAACTCAAAAAGAACGTCTTTCTAGTTATATATTGTAATAATAGAAAAAATTAAGATGCAATTAAAGTATCCCCCGCAGAATTACATATTAATATATAACCAGCTTGCCCTGTGATAACACGTTGTCTTTTAATACTTTCAGAGCCCACGCAGTATGCATTAATTGTTGAATTATTAATTTTGAATTATTATAATCAAGAATAAACCACAACAATCCGGAAGGACCATGAGCAGTTCGAGATGAATCATTTGAATATATGCCCGTGGGAAAATGACGTTGAACATTAACAATTACTAAAGTACAAAGCCCGTATGTCAACCGCATTCCATACATGCAATCGGCATCGTTTTAGAAACTGATGAAATTATAATGTAAAATAAGAGTAACACGTGCAGTCCACAAATTTTGACATCAGTCTAACTTTTGCCATAGTGTTTTGAGTAAGTACGTGCAAGCCTAATTTGTGTCGATTATATTTCTTAAATATAAATATAAATATAGCTAAATCATATCTCGCCTCCTGCTGTGGAATACGTAATTACACATACCGTAGTCAGCAAAATAATAAATCTATGTATAGTTTAAGCGCATATAATTGGCTTTCTGTTGATCCAAGCGGCCCGATCGAAGTCATGTCGCGGTTATTTATGGAATAATTCGAATTTTTATCAAATAATTTCTAGAATATTGACTTAAATTGAGAAATAAAATTCATTGCCCTCTATACTACAGGGTGTACTTATCTTTATGTATTACTAGTTTGTATGTCACTTGACCATGGACCATGCACGTTCTCGTTTGTAAGGCGAAAAAAATATACGGCTGACTCTCACGCAGATTACAAGTAAGGGCCGGCTATTCACAAAATACGTGACGCTTGTGGGGATAGGGGGGTGTTTGATCAGGAGTCACACAGGGGGGAGGGGTATCACAAGCGGTATCACGTGATGGAGAGGCGTATAGGGGGAAATTTATCCCTGTCTATAACAAAACAAGACCGTGCTTGCAAATATGTGTCCCTTAGATGACAAATCAATGTTTTCTATCAAAATATATTGTTATTCAATGAACCAGCGAGAACCTGAGTGGGAAACTGTTTAGGTCGAGGTTTGAAAAGACACAATTGAAACGGTATCGATTGATAGATAACGTTTTGAATCTGTTGTTGCATATTAAATTTGTGTTTTGTGAGTATATACTGTATATATTTTTTTCGGGGGGGTGGGGGGGGCTCTGAGAGTCACGTATTTTATGATGGGGTGTACTGCTGGCTGTCACACATTGTCACAAGGGGATAAGGAGGGGTAACAAATTGCCAAAAATAGTGTCACGTATTTTATGAATGCTCCCTAATATGCACTAATAGATACTATTAAATACTATCAAAGATGTGGCCGAACTGCCGAAACGTCCGGTCAAATTAAATGTCTCTCTTTTTAAATTATTATGACAGTTTATTTTTAGGACAAGAAAAAACGTTTATTTTTAGGACGCGTGTTCTATTAATAGATTGTTATTTAAAAACTATCAGAGACGTGACCGAACTGCCGAAACGTCTGGTCAAATTAAATGTCTTTTTAAATTATTATGACAGTTTATTTTTAGGACAAGAAAAAACGTTTATTTTTAGGACGCGTGTTTCTATTAATAGATTGTAATTTAAAAACTATCAAAGACGTGGAAGAACTGCCGAAAAGTGTGGTCACTAATGTCACTCCGGTTTTAATTATAGAAATAAATTAGCTAGTGACCACAAAGCCAAAGCCATTACTCTTAGCCCAATGTAATCAATATGCATTGCTCGTTATAGGACTGCATTTTGCTGACTAAAATTAGACTATAATATTTTTTGTGTGTGGAAATACCAACATAAATTAAAAAAGAAAGAAAGAACTTAAAATCAGAAAGAAAGAAAGAAAAGAAAGAAAGAAAAGAACTTAAAAAGAAGAACTACAAAGAACTTAAAATCAGACTATTTATATTTCTTGGTTTACCATAGCCTCCTCCGCAGCCTTCTCGTGGTTCACCTGGCGAATCTAAAGGGGATACCTGCGGAGGAGACTACAATCTTTGACAATATAGATTTTTTTTTTTTTTTTTT